CTCCCCTCCCGCCCCTCTTGGCCGCAGTGGGGCCCCGGCGCCCCGCCCCGCTGCTGTCCGGGACGGTGACACCACAAGATGAACGACTCCAGGTCCTCGCGCCCCCGCTACCTCCCCCCGCGCCGTCCCCAAGGGCTGTGGGGTGCTCGCGAGAGCCGGGTGCAGGTCAGGCAGGCTGCCCGCCCAATCCGATGCTGCGCCAGATCGTGAACCTCATGAACGTCCCGCTTGTGTGTGTTGCAGGTGTGGTTCAAGAACCGGCGCGCCAAGTGGCGGAAGCGCGAGCGGAACGCGATGAGCGCCGCCGCCGCGGCCGCCGCCGACTTCAAGAACGGCCTGGTCGGCAGCCAGCTCAACGGCTTCATGCAGCCCTTCGCCGACCCGGACCTCTACTCGTCTTACTCCTACAACAACTGGGCGTCCAAGGTGCCGTCGCCCCTCGGCGCCAAGACCTTCCCCTGGCCAGTCAACCCCCTAGGTGAGTCGCAGAGACGGGTAACACACGGGAATGTGCTGATTAAGAGAAAACGCAACATCTTCTGTGGTTTTTAGTAGAGCACTAAACATCACCGGCAGTTGCATTGCCTCGTACCAGGTACCAGGTGTTTCTGTGCTGTGTTTGTTTCCCTAATTTACACGAAGAGAGATCATTGATGAAAGCTCTACTACTGGTTTATTTGATTGACACCCTTGCCGTTGTGTTTGTGTGCCACAGGTGTCCCCAGCACGCCGCACCAGTCGACGGTCAACTGCTTCACGCCCGGCGCGGGGAGCGGCGTGGGCGTTGGCGCCGGCTCCATGATGACCTCGGGGCTGGGCGCGTCCTCCGGGGCGGTGGGCGTGGGCAGCGCGGGCTGCTACTACGACCCCATGTACCGGTCGGCGGGCGAGCCCTGCTCCATGTCCTCCATCGCCTCGCTGCGGCTCAAGGCCAAGCAGCACTCGGGCGCGTTCGGCTCGTACCCGCCCGTCAGCCCGTCCACGCACGCCGCGAGGGTCAGTGTCAACGCCACCATCAACGCCACCCTCAACGCCTCGCACTCGGGGCTGTCCGCCTGTCAGTACGCTGACCGGACGGCCACCTAGAGGGCTGTCCGCTCCCCTCCTCCGCCCCGCTGAGGACACTATTGTGATGACAATTTCTTTCGAGATTATTTCCCTTGTTTCAATACTGACAATTTATTATGTGGGACTACGCGTGCCCTAAATATGATATTTTTTTCACCCCGTGATTTTTCTCTTTGGCATTGAGTACTTATGACATCGTTACTTCATAAACAATAATATTTTAACGGCCGACTTCCCTCGACACAGTTGTCCCGTTTCATGCAAACGAAGTTGCATGAAGTAAGCGAGTGCATTATTATTTTCTAGTCTTCGGGCAGACCTTCGGGAAGCCGAAAACCTGACATGACCACGGTCATTCCTTGTGCGGTTTTAAAAATTTCGAAATTTGCAGCTTTGAGAGAATGTTTTGTCGATGAACGAAATGTGTTTTGTCGGCAGGGCCCCGTGGTCGACGAGAATATTTACGTGGAAGGGACGTCGTGCTGACTGCGGGATGCGGACAAGGAGAGATCGTCGAGTCAGATAAATTTATTCTTCGACGAAACGATGAAAAACTAATGTCGCAAAGTTTTCTCCTTTATAACTGATTGGGCATTATTGTAGTAGGTTTCCATTATTTCGTTTCCTTTGCTCTGGCTGAACATCCAGCTGGAGAGACGCACAGGTTGGCTTCTCGAGAGGCTGCTCCCTCTGTGACAAGGCCGTCGCACAAGTCAGTTTTACTGTGACAAGGCCGTCACACCAGTCAGTGTTAATCTAGTCGCCTAGCACCGCGCTGTTCAACTGTATTGGCATTTATTCGCCCCTCCTCTTTGTTTCCTTTTCAGGACGGTCATACTTCTGTGTTGTAAATTATCATTGTTATTATTTAAATACGTTGACACGCGCAAAGTGCTGGCTCAAAGTGTAAAATTAGCGTACCAAAAGAGATACCAAAAACTAAGAAAATATTCTTGTGTAGGGGGCGACGGTGTAGTGCCGGTCTGTGATTGTGTTTTGTAAAATTAAGATATCGGTAAGTCCATTGATTGTAATTAAGGTTGGTGTGTGCGTCGCAGGGCCGCTTGAGGGATACCCACCCAAGCACTAGACCAAAGCGCCAGCAAAGTCATATTGAGCTCGTGAATGTGTTGTTAAGACGAGAACAGGGTAAACAAGCACACCTTTATGCAAACAGCGCAAATTCAGAAAAGAGTTAACTTTGATAAAGATTGTGCCCTTAATTTTGTTTTCCGATGAACGTCTGCGGTGTCCGCTGATGTCGTATTGATGCAAAGTTTGAATCAAATGTTTACACAGAGACATGCGTGAACTGTAGCAATACCCTAGCACACATTTTCAAAAGAGTGTAAATATATTTATGGAGGTTAAGTTTACTGTATTTTTGTTGGCCACGTGTTTTCTCGTGTCAAAATTTTAGGCACGCATGTTAACTATTAAGTCAACAAAAGAACCGTTGTACCTTTCTTTCTTTTCTTTTAAAATTTTTACCCAAAGGCAATTTTGTGATCAGCCTGAATTTTATTTCTTGTACTGAAACTAAATGTGCAATATTTGATGTAAATATTCTAATTAAGAGGCATATGAGTAATATAATTTAAAGTATATGAATACTATAAGATAAATTAGTACAAAAAAAGGAAAAACAAGAATTTATATGATGATGTGTATTTTATTTCGTTTTGTCAATCTTCAATCTTTAGTATACAACCGATACCGTGGCTTTTGACTCATTTTGGCCTTTCCAATTGTCCAACTCTCTGTCCGCTCGACATTGCCGTTCTGGCACCGATACTCTGCGTTCTTCCTTTTCAATGTCTAGAATTTTCAATTAAAAAACAATTTTTCGGAAACTTTCTCGCTTTTTCCTCACTTCTTTGGACCCCGAACGCACCCATACTCTACTCTACCTTTACTAACACCCGACTTCTTCAAAAGAGTTTTTTTTTCACGCAGCTGCCAGCAGGACAATGCCATATCGTGGCTATATGTCGCACACAAAGAGACCTCTTTCTCGACCAACTGAACGTCTGCCTAAAGCGCCACCTCGAAATCAGCTCGGGCACCAGTTCAATAATATCATACTCTGCGCGGCCCATTCATAACTTCAACGCGGAGCAGAGGGTTGTAACGATCACTTCAAGTTCACGGGCCCCATACTATGATATCACATGCCCATATCTTCATCTCTCCCTTGCGGGGAGACACTCCCACACGTACGGATGACGCTCGGGGTCGTCCACCGGTACCTCCCCCCCAGCCTCTCCCCCCGGCCCCGCGCCCCCGCACCCTCCTCAAGGGCCGCGCGCCTTAACGACCAGCATTACACCAGTCCATACATATGTATAAGGCCGTGCCCCGGCCCTGCCCCGCGCCATGTGGTGCACCAGCCAATCACGGCGCCGCATTTATTAAATCATTATTAAAATTTGGGACATCTGTTTGCACAGCGTGTAGCGCCGGCGGCTCCGCGCGCGCGCGTCCCCCAGAGGGTGTTGCAGCGGATCAGTGCCCGGCGCACCCCGAGCCGCCCCGCCCCGCCACACCCCGCCACGCCACTCCGCTTGGCTAATGCGAGCGGGGAAGGGCAGCGACGCGTTAAACCAAACACTCCCATGGACCACCGCCCCACGAGAGGAAAGGAAAACAAAAGGGCATCCGCTTCGACGCGTCCCCTCTCCTCGTGGTGTCACCTTGTAATGGGTTTCATAATTATTAGCGCCGCCCGAGTCACGATTCTTACACTTTATTTCAATTTTATTTGGAGGCGCTGTTTCTCTGCAAAAGAGGTGAAAACCAAGCGCATCTCAATTTACTCTAAATGTCAGGGAGCAATTTTGTTTCGTAGGACCGTTTCTGTGCACATCCAGCAGACCAGACGCCGACCCAGTTTGTTGGTATTTATAATGAATTAAATTGTTCCTTTACATAGAGAGTGTGAACTTGGATGGTATATCCACCTCGTTCCCTAATGATTGCGCTAAATTGTTAGAAGAAAGAGTGAATAATTTAAAACGTGCTTTAAATCTGCATGCATTTTTTATTTACACCACACCCACTCAAATGTCGCCGTTCACACAGAGCTGACCCTGGGGGTCGGCAATAATAATATTCAAAGGACACGCGGGAAACTCGAAACGGATTTCGTGCCAATAAGCGGCTGCTGTTGCCACACGTCGCGTCGCGATGCCTCAAGTGTTGTTGGAAACAGGAACGACCACCGAGCCCCACAGTGCAGTGTGGCGGGGTGGAGTGTACCGAGAGCCGGGGAGGCGCGACCCTCGGCGTGCAGAGCAAACACCAGAGAACTGAATCGGAATATGAATGCGGGAGTGCGGCTACAGCTGCAGCGAGCTCGGTTCGCACGGGAAACAATCTATTCAAAACAACAATCACCAGCAAACAGAATTTCTCAATATTTTTCCCCGGCGTTTTCAGCTTTTGGTTTTTGTCATTTTCGGGCGGGCGCCCTTGAGTGTCGAGTTTCAGTCTTGAAAAGTCTACTTTTCGTTTCATCCAAAATGTCAATGACATTTCGCATAAAAAAAAACTGTCCTCGTCCAAACAAAAAATTGTCTGCGCTGATTTGTAAACAAATAAAAAGCGGTTTGTGGAATTGCTTCAGCTACGATAAGGGAAGCAGCACTCGGCCT